AAATCAACACCAAATAAACTAACAATCTAATTAAAACATGGACAAGACCTGAACAGACACTTTTGCAAGGTGGACATACAGATGGCCATTATAGACATGAAAAGATGCTCAAGGTCACTAATCTGCAGATAAATGCAAATTAAAACCAAAATGAGCTATCATTATCACACCTCTCTGAACGGCTATCAATAAATCAACAAATAATAAGTTCTGGTGAGGATGTGGAGAAAGGGGAACCTTGTTCACTGTTGGTGGAATGCAGATTGGTGCAGCCACTGTGGAAAGCAATATGAAGATATCTCAAAAAATTTAAAATGGATCTGCCTTTTGACCTAGCGATCCCACTTCTGGGAATACATACAAAGGAACCCAAAATACTAATTTGAAAGAACATAAGCACCCCTGTGTTCATTGCAGTGTTATTTACAATCACCAAGATATGGAAGCAGCCCAAGTGTCCACCAGCTGGTGAGTGTATAAAACAACTATGGAACATTTACACATGGAATACTACTTGGCCGTAAAAAAGAAGAAAATTTTACCCTTTGTGACAGCATGGATGGACCTGGAAAACATTACGTTAAGTGAAATAAACTAGTCAGAGAAAGACAAATATCAAATGATTTTACTCATATGTAGAATCTAATGAACAAACTGAACTTACAAGCAAAATAGAGACAGACTCATAGATGGAGAGCAGGGTGACATCTAGTGGGGAGTGGGGGAACTGACCAAAAAGGAAAAAGGATTCATGGACATGGACAACAGTGTGGTGATTGCAGAAGCGAGGGGTGTATAAGGGAAATAAATGGTAATGGAAAAATACAATAAAAATTAAAATAATATTATTGCAAATGTGCATGTGACTCAGGAGAAATACTGAAATGTGTTGTATGTACCACCCTATGTTGTTGTATTGAAAGATTATGTGATCAAAAATAAAAAGAAATTTTTAAAAAGACAGTGGGTTAAGCTCCTGATCTAATTAGGATACAAAGACCCTTTGGAAATAAATCATATGGTTACTGTTTACCATTTCAGCCATTAGACTAAATGAACGACATTTTTGATCTCATGTCAAGTGGTTTTCTTCCTGAAGTGTGATCCTTACAATTAGCATTGACCTTTATCAAGGTCATCATAATCTTGAATTAAATGCTTCAAAAGCTACATTGAGCCTATTCTCAGAGTGTGTTCATTCAACAGTTTTCAGGTGAAACTATTTAGTCTTTTATAACTGAAATCAAAACAAGTGACAGAAATCCAATGATCTGTCAACTGATTCAAGGAGATATGTGAAACATCCAAATGTGATTAGCTTGATAATTAAATCCATTACTTGCTCTTTAATTTACAAGTTGGTAAATAAAGAGTAATAATGGTGCTTTAAAACAACTGCTTTTCTATACTATATAAGCTCTATATTATACTATTAAGAGTGAAATATGTACTAAGTCAAAAATAACTTCTGATCAATACTTTTTAGTTATGACTTACCACAGCACAGTTGTTAAAATGATTTTTTTGTTTGAATAACCTAAAATACATAGCATAATTTGAACACTGTGAAGCCCGACCCAAGTTTTCTCACTTTGGCAAATTCCTTTTTTAAATATTTATTTATTTATTTATTTATTTATTTATTTAAGGCAGCAGAGAGAGAGAGAGAGAGAGAGAGAGAAGGAGAGGGAGAGGGAGAGGGAGAGGGAGGTGGGGGGGCGGTTTATTGTTCCACTTTATTGATGCATTCATTGCTTGATTCTTCCATGTGCCCTGACTGAAGATTAAACCCGCAACTTTGGTGTATGGGGATGATGCTCTAACAAACTAAGCTATCCAGCCAGGGCTGTTTTCTATTTCTTTTAAATCCCACCCTTCCATTTCCAGCAATGTAGGGCTATTTGCCAAACTAGCATATTTTCATTATAGATACTAAGTAGTCCATGTTACAGAGGAAGCTATTAAATTTCATTTTCCTAAATACACTTTGTGATACTTAAGAGACCCGTTGTAACCTCACCTATGAATCTGGCAAGCTACTTCTGGCAAATAAAGAAGCATAAAACAGTACAGAGACACTACTAACAAATGGTATTTAAAAATGATCTGCAGTTGAGAGCAAGACTATGCAATGAATTATTTTCAGGAACTTGAAATACACTGGATAATTTTGATTGCACCAGAAACAATGGTTATTTGCACAGGTTGAATAATCCATTTACTTGTCTAATTTATTGTTAGTATGCTTTTTAATGTCACTGTGTTTATGCTGCAAGTGCTGTCACTGAAGTGTTTTGCTCATGTTGATAAAAACTAAATACTTCCCGTTATCCTAGCTCTTTCTGAAATATAACATACATACCAAATTTATTTAATTGTAAATAATGCATTGGCTAAATACTAAATATATTAAAACATGGTTTAAGCATGTGATACTTTATTTGCTACACAGCTAACAGTAAATCTAAGAAACTAAGTTTATATGAAAATAAAGTATTATATGTCAAAAACAAGAGGCAAAAGAGAAAATAGAGTTAGAAATCTTATCTAAATTACAATAAAATAGGAAAAATGTTAACAGTTTCATGATGATTTTCTCTCTTCACCAAGTAGCTGAGAGAAAAAAAATTATAATGTAAGTGTTTTAAGAAATCACTTAAGGTAAAATATGATGATAGTTGTAATTTTTATTTCTTATAAAGTTTCATAAAATATTTATTTCCAAAAAAGCAAAAGCCTTCTAATAAAAAAATACATATATGAATATACAATAATTCCTATTTAATTTTAAATCTATTGACTTAATAACAAAATAGTCTTAGGTGACATTTAATAATAATATTAAACTGTCTTTAAGTTGTTGCAATGTGTAATTTTTTATACATTAGATTAAAGAGGTAAAAAAAGACTGCATTAAGGAAACGTGGTCTGGATACTTTAAGTAAAAATAATTTTCATTCTAATATGTCTCCCATCCAGAGCGGGCTCTGTCATCACCGCCCCCACATCGCGCCCCTCTCTCCTGTAGTCCCTGCAGCAAAAAATACCGTAGTTCTCTCACGGAGGGGGCTCATGCAGATACGTCTGCCCGTGATGATAACAAATGCTGATTGAGAAAGGGTTTATCTTCATTTCATGCAAAATATGTGAACCATTAAGGAAATTATAAAAAGCAGCAACAATACACTCTGGTTTTATTCAGAACCTTTCCCTTAGTGATTATTAAAAGGATGATATTTTTAGCCAAAGAAAGCAAAATGCATCTGCAGCAGCTGGTTTCCAAGGAAACAGAATAATTTAAAACCATGTGGAACTCTGCTCTCTAATTTTCATCAATTCCCCTTCATTCCTGGAGGTAGCTTTACTCAGAATTTATAATTTCAAAAAAATATAACTGCTTTGACTTATTTTCTCTAATACACATCATGCAGTGAATATCTCGTTTTATACATCACCTTAAATTCCAGGCTAGGGAGTGACTTAATTTTACCATCATTTTGTTTTAAAAACCAAGATGAAAAGAATTAATAATGAGAAACATGGAAATATCTCAATATCATACAATGATTTTTCAAATCCAGAAACAGTTCAAGATAAAGCATGTAAGAGTATTTGCTTGGGTCAATATGACGCTTCAGTGTGTAAACATATTCTCTGTTTTTAGTATATTTAGGAATGTTATGTTTTTGTCTGATGTTTAAAGACAAAACCTATCTCTCAAATTACGAAAAGCGAAATCAGGACCTCCAAAAACTTAGAAATTATTTATATTCATTCTTACTACTAGTGATTAATTCAGAAGTGCTATTTTAAAAAAATGAACAAATCAGTTACATCATTGACTTTTATTTTGTTTTCATAATCAATAAGTATTAATTAATTGCCAATGTGCCCATGTCAGTAATAATCTTTCTTAGAAGAAGTTGAGTTTTAAAAAGGTTACTGCACCCGTATTGACCTTTACTTATGTATTAAGATACGAATAAAATAAAATGACTTGGGAGTAAAATTATTTTTAATGTGTTTACTGTGTCATTTAGTCTGCATACTTAGAATGCTCCTATTTTTCCTCAGCAAAATAAAACAAAAAAACCCCAAAAAAATAAAAGCAAAAAAACACACACACACTCACAAAAAAAAACACACACACACAAAAACAATATTAACAGATATAAGCCACAAAGTCACTGGTAAAGTAAAATCTTAACTTTTGAGCTTTAAAAAAATATTTTTATTTTGCCTAGAAATATTCTCAACAATATAAATGCTGTGATGGAATTCTTACCTAGATATATTTGATTGATACATGAAACTAGCAATGAAACTGGCCTATTAAGATGCAATTTTTACGGCAATGTTTAATCTTTTACAAATAGGCTTCTGAGCTTTTAAAGTCTCATACATGTTGACAAATATAGACATGTTTACTAAATAAAATGATGCAACTACTCAATAGCATAAGATTTATCAAAGGAGAAAGTTAAAAGGGCATAAATGCACATAAATCACTTATTCTAAGTTAGTGCTAAAAAGCTCTACAACCAGCAAAAATTATTTTCCTAAACTATTTACCGTTTTGTAAATATTAGAAGACACACATGAAATTTTATACTCTATATTTAGAGAAAGCTCCATTTTCCCAGGACCTGTGGAATTTAACTGAGCTCTCCTTATCCTCCCTTGGATTCCTAACTACAATAGCTTATATGTAAAATTAAAAAAGCACATGACGACTCAATTTATCTATTAATATTGCTTCAATAACCCTTGCTTAGCAAGTTATCCAGGATAAGACATGCCTCCGGTGGTTTTTTTTTATCAGCTAAGGGTTTCGCAGGGAGAAAGGACATTTTCGCAAAGCTTCCTCAAGGAATGAAAAGGACACGCTTTCGGGAAATGTCTTCAGAATGCTTTTCAAGTCCTAAAACTGTCTCGGTAGGAATTAAGAAGTATTCTCTTTTAAATAAAAAGAAAATTTTTCTCTTCTTGTTTACCCTTACCTGCAAGTATGGTTTCTGTACTTCGGCTCCGTCGGATCACACTGAAGATTTCACTCCTCCCTCTCTATCCATCAGGCGGCAGCCAACCAATAACAAAAGCCAGATCCTGGCATTCTCTGGCTCATGCTCCCTGCTCGGCTTCCCTCCCTTGGTCCCTCCCACCCCGACTCTTTTGGAGAAAAATCCTCGCAGCTGAGTGAAAGGGAGTGGAGAAAAGGAATAGAGAAAAGGAAGAGATGAAGAAATGAAAGATACTTCAAAGAATAGCTCCAAGCTATGAAAGATATCCGTAGGTGAACTGAGCTGAAGTTAAATGTCTTGCTTTGAATTTAGGAAAATAGGGACAATCAATGCCTTGTCCACCTGAAATCAAAGTAAAATACTCACGGTAAAACCTAGGTAAATCGCCTATTTATTCAGCTCCTATTGATTTTTTTCAGTGAAAAGAAATTTATCTCCTCATTGTACATTTTGATAAGCAAATAGATGAAGTTGAGACTGAACATCATGATAATATTATACACATACAGATTGCAAATACATAAAACAAATTGAGACACTGCACATTGATGTATCATACTATTTGCATTTCAACCTCTGTTTGGCACTGTTTCCATTTAAAACCAGTTTCAGAACCTAATCAGTATGAAAAATATATTTTATCTTGAATACTAAACTATTCCAATGTTTCAAAATTATGTGGTTTGCATTATTTCAGATTTCTTAAATGTTAGCATCAGTTTGTCCATGTAAATAATGGAGTTTGTTGAAGATTGAAAGGGAATCAGCACTTAGTTGCCATGCCTCAAAATGACTAAAATCCAATTTTATTCTAATAACTTTGGGCAAATCATTTCATTTCTGAACTAAAAGGCATAATATATATAAAAGGACAATCGAGGAAAACATCGTTAGAATTCTCTAAGGCAACAAAGCAAATTTGTCCACAGCTTAAAGGATGGTAGGTTGAGACTACCGAAGATTTCAAAGTAGATCTGTTTCTATCTATAGCATCTATACCTATGTCTATACCTAATCTATATATGTACAGATGAATGGCTTTTTATGATAAAAGGTACTATTAATTGAACTTTCACTACTCAAGGTGATCTGAAAAAGTTTTCTTGGGGAGATATAAACAATGGATGCTTTCTCTGTCTTAAGGGTATATCTATAGGATTTACAACTCAATTTCTTAAATCGGTAATATGGAAATAAGACCAAAGGGAGAAAAAGAGAGAGAGCTATGGCAAGAAGATATTTATTTCTAAGAGTAACTCTCATGAGGGCAAATATTGGCAGTCCAGAAATAATTGTATGATAAAAGTTTAGGGATATCAATCTTGTTAGGAGGGGAGTAAGCTGGTAACTTGACCTGAAACTTGACTTTAGATAGAAGAAGTGCACTAATTTTACTGAGTGTGCACAGTTTCTTGGAATAGCTTTGGGAGGCTCTGCTTGAGAAAAGGGGAAGGTTAAATCATTCCTGATTTCTACCCCAAGCCCTCTGCTTTGGAAAATGCTTTCAAAGCCCCTGTGGTCCCACAGCTAGGAATAGCTGGGAATGTCTGTGTGGCAGCACTTCCGAAAGTGTATGGGACCATCTGCATCAGAATCATTGCTGGGAGGCATATTAAAAATGCAGATCTGTGGGCCTCACCCCAGACTTGAGGAATTAACATTGGAGGAGTTTGTGGGTGGGCATTGAGGGTGATTTTTATGCCAATAATGCTTTGGGTCAGCGACTCTGTAGGCAATTGTTCCTTGGACACAAACTCTAACCAAATTTCTCCTGGTTGGATTATGGCACCATTATCTCAGATAGAGGAAGAAAAAGAGGTGGTGAGGGAGAGATCAATTTAATTTGGACGTTTTGAATTTTTTTGAATACCAGGCTGAAATGTTGAAATTGTCAGTTTCAATCATGGATTGGTCTGGGGTCTAGGCACAATGTAGGAATTATCTATGGTATGGTTAAAACAATGAAAAGTGAATTAGTACCCTTGGGCAGCTGTTTTCAAAATTGTGGGCTAAGAAATTTCTTTCCAAGATTTAAAAATGAAGACTAGGATTCCACCCCATACTTACCAAATCGGAATCTCTTCAGTGGGGCTGAGGAAGCTCCATTTTTAATAAATTTCCCAGCTAACTTTCCTTGTATACTAAACTTTGAGAACCATCACTCTAGAAAAAGGAGTAAATTGAGAATAAAACTCTGGGAATGGCTTGCATTCATAAAGAACAGAGGAAGTGGTATGAAGAAAAGATACCTAAGAGGAACAATTAGCAAGGAGAGGAGCTCCCTGCCCCCCTCCTCCAAAAAAAGTGGTGTAGCAAAATCAAAGGAGTAGAGAATTTCAAGAAAATGCCCTGTAAAAGGCTATGACAAGGTCTAGTGCGTTACTATACGAAGTGCAGTTGACGGAAATCAAGCATCCCCTAGAGCTCATTTGATGTAGAATCTTGGGCCCTGTGCCAATAAACTGAACCACAACCTGCATTTTAACCAGACCCACAAAAGAGTCCAATGCACATTTAAATTGTACTTTTATGTATTTATTTTTTCTTTGAAATATATTTGACATATAACATCGCATACATTTAAGGTGCGCAATATGCTAATTTGATACACATATATTGTAATATGATAGCCATTGTAGAACTAATTAGCATCTCTATTATATTACATAATTGTTCTTCCTTTACAGTGGTTGGATTAATTAAATTCTAATCTCTTAACAGGTTTGATGATTATAATACAGTGTTGTTGTCTATATTCACTCTACTCGGCCCTAGATTTCTAGGGCATATTTACTACTCATTGTAAGTTTATACCCTTAAACAATATCTGCCTGACCCTCCAACCTCCATCCTCTAGTAACCACCATTTTATTCTCTGTTTTTACAGGTTTGTCTTTTAAAATTCCACATACAAGTGATATTGAGACAGTGTATGGGCTTGCTCCCAGGAATGGAAAAATACCAGGTAGTCAGGAAGCCAGGTTAAGACCAGGTGGCCAGAAAGTGTCATAACCACTACCCTTGCATATGCCATTGCTCAGGGTTGGCCATTGTTTGACCTTCCTGGGGTGGTGGAAATGAGAAACACCAAAACCATCACAAAATACAACATTTAAGTTAGAAGAGGATTGTAGAAAATGATGTATTGAAAATAAGAAATTCTCTTAGTAATGAGATGCTCTGGATAAAAAAAAAAATTGATAAGATTGCTTCCTTAGGGATTGATGCTGAAAACAGCTGTAATTTTATAACAATTAAGCAATATTAATAAAATGTTATTGAGGGACAGTAAAATATATTCAGGTGTCCCACTTCTACTCGCATTTCCCGAGGAATACTATAATAAATAAATTAGAATAAACTATAGAAAACTTTACAGGTCAGCATGAGTAAACAACAAAGTAGTGGGTGATTTTCATTAGGGGTAGATATAAAATTATAATTTAAGAATATAATTTAAATCTTAAATTATGAGGATGTTTGAATATCAGTTGTAACTCACAAAAAGGATGAAATCAGTCTGGTTCCTAAACACATGTTGCCGAAAATGTCCACAAACCTACTTGTCTTCTGAAATCATAGACAGAGAATTTTAAAAAGGTGTGTATTTGTTTTCTGTAAAAGTGCAGATTGCACTTGAAATGTCATAGTAATAATTTGATTATCACAGATAAAGAAAGACTTTAAAAAACCAGAAAATATCTGGATAAAGGCAAATCAAGTGATCATTTGAATTAAGCAGTTTCAAATTAGTTTGATCTCAAGATTTGGATAACTTGAAACTTGAAGACAAAAGTGAAAAAAAGGACATAATCCAAGTATTTAAAATACTAACTGTGAATAACGTAAACAGAAATTTCTTTACCAAATTGTAGGCAGCTTCAGTACTTGAGAGGGAGACCATTTCATGGTCAATAAAAACATGTGATTGTTTCTACTTCCTCTTCTCCCACACATTCCACATTTTAATTACCCAACATGGATGGGAAATTCAATGATTTACTGGACTGGTTTCAAAATAATCTAAAGTTTATATTTAAAATATGAAAAACTTGGAAGAATTATATTGTATTTAATGCTTAAATATGGAAAGCATACACAGTAACTGGCAAAAAAAGATAAGTTTTTGATAAATGTGAAAAGATATAAATCCAAAACAAGAGTGGGAGTGGAGTTGGGAGAAAGAAGAAAAAAATAATAGGAATGAGAGAAAAAGAAAGCAAGCATGCACAAATCAAATCTGTACAGATAAGCGATCTGCCTTAAATTTGACCACCCCTTAGAATTTTATGGAATAAGAATATCAAACTATGAGCGGTGCCAGCTTCTGGAATAAGGAGGTGAGACAGAGATACTAGAAATAAAAAAGAAGTAACAGCCTTGTGAAACAGAACCTGAAACCGCTGCTCTCTTTTGGTATTCATCTATCTAATGAGTCTCTATCCGGAATATTCTGAGATGAAAGTAGACAAAAGCAAAATAGTGCCAAGCTCCTTAATAGGAAACAATTTGGCAGGTGACAATGAGAGGGGAGCTCAGCTAACACAGAAACATGCAAAGCATCTCTAAGATCCCTGCTGATTTTTTGGTTAGATATCAGAGCCAAGAAGTTGAAAGGATGCTTGCATTTACGGCTGGTGAAGACCACAGAGAAAGGCTTTCCTAAAGTGTGAGTTGGCTTTCCCCCAAACGTTACATTACCCTTGAATGGAAAATTGATCGGATGACATATGGTGATAACATCTGCCACCCATGGATAAAGCCGGAGTGCCATGTGGGTGGTAATGGAAGCTGTAATAGCGAGGGTGGAGAATTTAATGATAGTATGTAACACTAAGGAAAGTAGCAGCAATCTGATAGAAAGGAACAATTTGTGTAAATCTTTAAGATGGGCACTATAGGACTTCATCCTGTTCTTCTGTAGTCATCTCAGAGGGAATGATAAAAGATGCTTTGTCATTTTATTACCTCTAAGTCGATCTCAGCCATAACCCCCAGGGAGGCGTTTCTTGCAGATATTAGTGTGGGTAGGC